AAAAGCAATGCAAAAAATTTTAACTTCACACACTTACTAAAGACAGGTTCTCAGAATGCCACAGTAAACTGAACTAGAATCTGAACTGTACTTTAAAGAGAGTAACAAAGTAAGAATTCTTCCATCAGTAATTTAGAAGGAGTCTTAAAAAAAAATCGAAGGGATATCTATACTTACTAGGAACAGAAATAAAGAGCAAACAAAAAAAAAATCAACTGTGAAACAAATGCTTCACAACTCAAATTCTACAGAGTAAATTCTGGAAACAAACAATTTCTCCTTATCACTTTTGGAAAGGAGTCTAGAAAAGCATTTTACTTAAGGAGGTATAGCATGCTAAGGAAAGCCTCCAAATAGAATATAAACTCTATTCTGGATTTGGTCCTGTCACCTACATGGACTACGTAGACCACTAAGACAACACTTGGTCACCTGCCAGTGTAAGGTCAATTTCAGCTCTAATATTATATTGCTAAATGTGATATTAAACCTAAATATATGTGAAATATAAACAAGAAAATCTGAAAATATGCAGGTTCAGTTGTGGTTCTGACAACCTTGCTTGCCGAAAGCAGAGAAGATTTGGAATGTTTGCTGCCGAAGATCGAAGACTACAGCCTTCAATGTAAATTGCATCTCAACACTAAAAAACAAAAATCCTCACTTCTGAAATAATAGACAACATCCTGATCTGATAGAGGGGGGTAAAGATTGAAATTATCAACAATTTCATCTTACTTGGATACATATTTATATTAATATATACTATGAATCCATCCAGTGTATGGCAGAAGCCAGAAGGAACAAGTCTATGTAAAGTGCTAATTAATAGCCAAATAGCCTGAAGGTGACAGATTGAGGGAATTGAGAAATTTATTTCTAAGGGAATGAATTGATGGTTCTGGGGCTTTGGAACCTGAGTCTTGGGGGACTACCAAAGTCAACTGGTATAACATAGTCCACAAAGACAATGTTCTGTGTTCCTCTCCGGTAAATAGTGACTAAGGTCTTAAAAGCCTGAACATAACCATCTAAGATGCAACTATTAGTCTCTCCTTGTCTGGAACAAAGAAGAAGGGAGGGAGGGATGAAGGAAGGGAGGGAGGAGTGACGGGAGGGAGGGAGGTAAAGGAAAGAACTAATGTGGTTGTTGTTAGGTGCCATCAAGTCATATGACTCATTTTGACCCTAGAAACAGCAGATCTGAATTTGCCTTCTTCGGCACCATCCTCATGATCTCTGTCCTGCTCAAGCCCATTGTAGTAGTCACGGCATCGATCCAGCTCATTGACAATTTTCAACCCTCTTTGCACTTCCTTCAAGACAAATTTGTTCTTTTGTCATTCCATGGAATAGTCAATACCCTTTGCCAGCACAAAAATTCAAAGGCTCAACTTCCATGACTAGAAGAACTAAGTAGTGCCCAGTTACCCCCAATAACCAAGCTAAAAGGGATCCTAGCCGAAAATCCTGGATAGAGGAGGAGAAATATGGAACAAAAATTAAAAAATTTTAAAAATCTATGCCTACTGGCCCAATACAACTAAAGGAACCCTTCAAGACTATGACTCTTAGTCATTTTTTAAACATGGAACAAAATTAACCCCCAAGGCTCAACTTTCAGCCAAACCAATAGATAAGCCTACAAGATAACGGGAAGCAAGTATGAGGCAAGCATTCACTCTTTTGAAGTGCCAATGAAGGAATTTTTCTTTTACTTTTCAAAGAGAAGAGTGGGGGGGGGAGTGCAACAATGAATGAATGGAAATCCAAAATCTCTGTAAATGTTCATTAAAATTAATTAAAAAAAAAAAAGAGCCAACTCTATAAAGTGAGATGAGGAGCATTTTCCCAAAGCTAAAGCCCGTAAGGCCTGAAGAGGCTGAACAGAAGGATTAATGCAAATACAATCACAGGACGGAAATGGGGAATGTGATTACACTGTGTGATTAATGTCATAAAACAAAATGTGTATGAATGGTTAAATGAAAAACCAATTTGCTTTGTAAACTTCCACTCACTCAAATCATAATACAAATTTTTAAAAGCTAGAAGAAAAAAAAAGAAGTGGTATGCTTATTTGGGGTCGCTTTCCAAATAAACTTAACAAATTCCCTTTCGAGCTCTTTGAAAAAAATGAATTTAGTATCAGTATTGGGAATTGCACTGATCATGTAGATTGTTTTTGGGAGAAATGTCATTTTCACAAAATTGAGTCTTCCTATCCATGAACAGGGCACATTTCCCCATTTATTTAAGTCTTTTATTGTGTCTCGCA